ATACGTGAAATAACCCACCCTCAAGTCTACGCCCTCAAGCGGCTCTTGGCGGCCCTCAGGTGTTTGACCCACCAGTGCTTAGATATTATCAAACTGAAAAAAATGAATACCAGAAATCCACATACATGTCATTTCAAATGTCTTTTCTATTCATGAATTTTAAATTTTAAATTGTATCTCTCTCATAATGACTCGTTAAATTACAATATATTAGTTCTATGGCTTTTGTATCTTATTTAACCAGGCGTTAAGTTCTTAAAATGATTGTTTGTGCTAAACTTTAAAATTCTGTCGTCAATCGACTTACTATGTTTTAGCCTTAAACTGATAATCATGTTCTTTCTTACCTTTCAAACCTCAGTGACTTTAATAACGCCCCTGTTGCAAATCAATTACAAAATTGTTTTTCATTATCACAAGGCGTTCACACTTCTCTGGGTATTCCCATTCTGGAATTTACACCCTCACAGCTAGGCGCCCCTGGCGACTGATTCTGCATCTTCTGTTACCCTGTTTATAACTCACTAATCAGATATTACAAACATGTCAACATTCACCAAACAGTATTCTGGTATCCCCAGATATGGAGCCAGGTTTAATTTCTAAAAACTGTCAATCAATTGGTCATGACTTGAACATCTGAGTTTTGGAGGCCCGGGGCAGGCTTTCTTTCAGTCCATTAAATGAAAAATCCCACAGCCCGCCCGCCTGCCTGGTAAGCGGAGAGTTATTGCCCACTTCCGCGGATGCCGCAGAGTATCGTACGTGCTTCTTGGAGCCGGTCGCTTAAGTTCTTTTGCCAGCGTGTGTTCAGTGCGACAACAATGGCCAAGACGCAAGAAGATCGCCGAGGCGACGCAACAGTCGGGGATAACAATTATTTGTTAACCCGTCTTTTGGAGGAGAATTTTCCATTGGCCCGCTTAGAATAGATAGTATGTGAACTGAGTGTGATTGAAGTGTTTTAGAGTTTTAAAAGTCAAGCATCTTCTTTGGGCATAATTTAAGGTAGGTAAAGTAAATCTCAAGGGTTAAGCGTTAAAAAAAAAAAACGTATTGTATTGACTGCTAACTTGATTAAAAAAACGTTTTTTGGCTTTTAAAATACTAAAGCAAAAATATATTTAATGTATAATAAAAAATAATTTTATTTTTGTTCTATTCTGAAATAATGAGTGGAGGAAAAAAAGCTTTAAATTCATATTGCCAAAAAACAAAAATGTTGTTGTTTTTTAAAATGGTTACTCAAATTAAAAAAAAACCTTACTTTAATTTAATAATAGGTAGTTCTTCTTGCGCATTAAAAAATTAACCAAAGGAGAACAATTGTCCTTGCCAAGTTCATATACTTTTTTTTAGTTACCTTTTGAAAAGATTTAGATTTTCAAATTACATTAGAAAAACAAAAGATAATCAAACAAAAAACAAGAATCAAACCCAAAAAAAAACTTGATTGCGAACCCTAAAGGAATATTTGAAATAGTGTGACTCTTGGCAAGTGGGAGGTTTCCTGTTTTCTATTGATGAGTTAAGTTCCCCCCCCTTATTTTGCCATTGACAAAAACAAATTCCGTGTATTTCTTCGCGTTCCAAATTTGGTTTTTCTTATTAAAAACCACCTGTAAAAAACGGCGAAAAGGAGCGTCTGAAAAGGGCGTTTTTTTGCTTTTTAACGCTTTAACTAAAAGATCGGTCTAATGGTTCAATTTTGGAACGCGACGGGCGGGGCGCGAAACTTCACGGACAGTGATTTTCAAAAACAAAAATGAAGCGGGCGATTAAATATATAAAACAAGAAGAAACGAGGGGTGAATTAGGCGATACACGAAAACGGTCCAAGACAGCATATGAGCCCAGAGAATGGATGAATACTAAGGGCGTGTAAAATATAATTGTAAAGCCTCTTTTTTGTCTAAAAAGTGACAACATTGTTAAGAGATGTTGAACTATACAGCTATTCTGCCACTGCGTCACTCAGCCGCCTTCTCGAGTTTGTTTTTCAAATTCAGCTGCTCTTGCATCCTGCTATATTTGACGAGTGATACAAATATTTGTTACCACAAGTTTCTTAAGGAAACTGACGTATCTCTCTTTTCTCCTCCTCCTCCGTTAGTTGTTGTTGAGCAGAGACACTGTCAGTTTTCTTAAGAACTTGTGGTAAAACATATTTGTATCACTCGTCAAATATAGCAGGAATAATGAAGAGCAGCTGATTTGAAAAAACAAACACGAGAGGCGGCTGAGTGACCGCAGTGCAGAATCGCTGTATAGTTTAAATCTCCTAACAATGTTGTCCATTTTAGACAGAGGCTTATTATATTTACAGCCCTTAGTAACATCCCTTTTCTGGGCTCAATATGTGTCTTGGCCGTTTTCGTTGTGATCGCTAAATTCACCTTGTTTCCCTTTGTTTATAATATTATCACCGCTTTTGTTTTGAAATCACTTCTGTGAGTTTCGCCCCGCCCCTCGCTCCAATGACCATTAGACCATTTAGTAAGGTAAAAAGCAAAAAGTAGAAACGCCTCTCAAACGCTCTTCCGTTTACGTGTTAAATAAAGAAAAACAATTGGACGGTAGATACACGGATTGTTCATGTACTGTTAAATTCCTGCTTACTTCTTTTGTTATTTCTTAAAGTGGAACTATCATGCTATATTTGAATAATATAGTGTAGGACCATACCTATATAAGGCATATTTATACTTTTTATTTTTCAAAATACCAAACAGATCATGCATTTTAGCCATTCCTCATTTCGCTCAATTTAACACTGTCTTTGCATGGGCTGATTCTGTGAGAACAGCACCATCTACAGGCCTGGCATATGTACTACAGCGTCTCCAGCGCTTTCGAACAATGTCTGTGGCTGTCTCCTCCTGATTGGTGGAGTTGGCCCAATAGCCGTAGCGCCACTTCTGTGACGTCATATAAAGGTTCAAATCTGGATCAGTCTGTATCAGATCCGTTGCAGCCCCTTTTTAAGAGATTTGGGTATGGAGGAAAATAGAGAGGGTTGTGTTTTCTGACACTTGGTGAGTTCCCTGGAACACCGGGGGACACATATTCATGTATAAAAGACGTACAAAAGTGCATTTTGCATGATATGTTACCTTTAAACAAATTATACCTAGGGGTTTGATATTAATCTTGTAATTGAGTATGTGTACTTACCTCAGGAATTCGATCCAGGACCAGAACCTGTGTTTCATAAAGGGTCTTCTGCACAGAGGGGGAGAACTCTCCAAGATCATAAGGACCAGCAAACTTCTCAATGATCGTCTCCTTTACACACTTCCTATGAGGACAGCGATGTGAGTCATTAAATTAGGAGATTATTATTCATTCACTTTAGTATTTCTTATTTTCCTTTTATTTTGTGTTCAGATCTCATAACATTTGTTTTCTTCTTCTTTGACAGATAAAGTTACAGGCAACTAAGATGTGAATTGAAGCCTAATTGTGTCCTACGCAACTCTCTTCACAGATAATTACCATGCAGCATCGAAGTCGATATCCTGACTCTTGCTGTAGCGCCACCTAGCCATGACAGAGGTGCAGAAACACCTGTCCTTGGTCTCTTGCAGAGTAGTGAAGCGGTCTTTGTGGAAACCCTCAAAGCCAGACTGGGTGGTTTTCAGCAGCGTCATGTTCTTCACCCCACTGTGTACCACCGGGATGCCTGTGCACAGAGTCAGTGAGTATGCAGTTATCATAAACATCAGGTAACATTTGGATATGACTGAAGCCCGTCATCAGCATCAGTGATATGCAGCAATGCCAAGCTCATAAAACTCATCCGTTTATAATAATTCCAAAACATCTAAACCAAATAGACTTTAGTTCAAACTGGACACAGATGAGGCCATGGCATCCAATTACTCCAAATCATTTTTCACATGTACTTCTTAGCTAGTAAAATCATCGAGGGTGCGACAAGATAACACCGTCTGATCCCAGCCCAGGCAAGTACAAAGATGGTTTATCTTTAGAAGTTTAAACTCAGTCACATGAGATTTATGAAGCCCCTAACAAAAAACTAGGAAATGGATTTTTTAACTATATAAGGTGAAGTGGGTGTTGTGCTTACCATTGAGATTCTGTTCAACATCACAGAAGCGACAAGCTTCAGGGCTAAAGATGAATGCATGAGCATGCTCTACCCCATTCTGAGAAACCATACAACAATGGAAAACGTGGTGAAAATCATGTTCAAATTATTTAAGGTGTTCATGGTGTTGCTTTAAAAAATAGAAATGATGGAAACACATGGCAATATGTCATGCCCAAAAAGCATGTCTGAAACTGATTATAATGACCACGGATTAACAATTATTTCCCATCATCCATCAGTGATGCTTGGTGTGCTCTAAGGTTAAAAAGACTTTAGTTCTTTAGTGTCATTGGTTCCACTTGTGCTTTTCCCTTCATGAAAAGTAAAATATCTTATAACTGATCACTGAACCCTGTGCTTTACCTTTTCCAACCGTCTCCATGGAGCCTCCTCCATGTGAACTCTGGCCTTCAGCACATGGTTGAAGGAGGTCAGGAAATGATGACAGATATCCAGAGAAAACTGCTCAATGGTCTTAACCTGAATAGAGGAGCATAAAAAGCATGCTGTAAGTAAAAGCATCTAAAAATATCTAAATATTTAACATAAAGGAAGGTCAGGGTTTTTTAAACCTTGATTGTATTTGATCAGTGTGTGTTTGCCTCAACGGTGGACAAGGTTCACTTTGGCAGTATAGTGAGGTAAAATAGTGACTTTAGTAGAAGTCTCCTAGTTTAAAAAAAAGGCTTTCTGAATATACAAATAAACCTTTAAAAGGAGCAATAAGGATATGTAACAGAACAGTTTGTTTACAGGAAGGCTGCTGAATTTCTCCCCAGACTTTTGTGTCACTGCATTTAGTTCAGTTTAAAACTGCCTGACAAATACATAAATATTTGTCTTCTCCTGAATGTGAAAAAAGGTATTTTTTCCCCAACCCAAATGAATGCACACTGCCAAGATTATTTTCACTTTTCTTGTCAAAAAACAAAGATAGCCAAGGTAGGTAGGTAAGGGGTTTAGATTTGTATGTCAAAAGTATGGCAACAATTCAACCGTGTTCCTATCTCATAAGAATTACATCTTAACAGTGACAGACAAATGGGATGATAACAACACTGTTTTTGTAAACAATTCAACAGAGTGGAGAGTCAGGTCCCAACCGCCCTTTGTTACTAACAACGGATAGACGTTGTTTTTAATGGAGTGATAGAAGTGTGACACGAGTAGAAAGTGGAAAGAGTGTAGTGGACGGTCTGGAGGAGGACCATACCCCCTTGAGCTTGGCCAGGCCATGGACGGTGTTTTTGATGGTGTCGGTGGGGATGATGTCTGAGTTGTCTCCAGTTAGATAATCTTTGCGGGATTTGAGAGTGAGCTCCACGTCAGCTTTCAGCTCGATGATGTAGTGATGGCTGCCCTGTCTCCTGATCACCAGCACCTTCACTTTGTTCTTGCCGTAGCCTGTACGCACAAACTCCACATTCTGCAGACACAGAGAACTTCAGTTTCCATTCATACTGCATGTTTAATTATTAGTGTTTGCAGGGGGTTTTATTTACTAGTGTGTCACATTTGCTAACATCCCTGTGCAATTAGATTTCATATAGGAACGGCCATGTAGTAATGTTGATAACACAATACAAAATATACATAGTTTTAACTTTTACATAGTGTTTGATGAAGCAGAAATGACACATTTAGATGTAGCAGCCTCATGTGGCAACCTGGTATCCACAAAGGGACACATTTAAAATAAATAAATCAATATTAACCAACATTAAGATTTAACTCAGAGTCTCTGCAGATTCTCAAAAAGTAAAAAAAGAAAGAAAAAGGTATTGAATTCATAAATCTAAAAATAACACTTTAATGTGCAATAAAGTTCCTTAACCAAATACATTTTCAAAGTCTTTTAAAATGCTTATACGTCAAAAGACATTGCAATTTCTAACTGCAAAATAACTTTTTTTTAAAATAATTTTGTAAATGCCTCAGGCATTAACATGGTGCAGATCAGGACATGCCTCATATATTAAATGTTTTTATTTGTATCTGCTAGCAAACAGCTACATAATGAAATAGTTCATTTTGCAATAAATAATTTTTCCTAACTATCAGTCATGGATGCCAATTCTTTCTTCAATTTTTGTGGGGTGAATTTGGTCTTACATTTAATTCAGCGTTGCATTAATACATTCTTAAATATGCCTTAGGCTGTAAAAATGTATATACTCTTTGTTTACAGCATCAGGTTAGACCAATAGTTTGTGATTTAGACTTTACTTTATTTATATGTATGAGACATGTCCACTGGTTTGTCCCACAGTCGCTCCATGGTCATTCACCCCAAACCTGAGATAACCAGAGCTGAATAATTTAAAGTGTCCTCTTATAGAGTATAACACATCTTATCTCTTTGTTTTAATTTCTGTAAAAATGATGAATGATTACCTGATCTGAAGCCGCTGCCATGGTAACTTTCCTTCCTTCACCTGCTGCCTGTCTGTCCTCTGTTCCTCCAGCAAAAGGTGTCTCTACCCATTGAGGAGGATTTTGTAGAGAGGGCGGGGCCACCTTTGCTCTTTTCTTTTTGTTATTGAAAGTTGCATGTCAGGTAATGTTCAACCCGTCTTACCCGTTGCAACGTCTGTAATTCAAATTTTTGGCATGCAGATGTATACACCCAACACACCCTCTCTTGCTTTATTACACACACGTGTAGTTGCAGAGAAGACCACAAGTACATTTCTTATCAATAAATACAGACATTTTTGTTGTGTTGTATTCTAAACTCACTGTGGTTTCATCTATCAGTGTGTAAAGCATTTTTGCATTTAGTTGAGTTATTTGTAATACTACATATATGTAGATCAAATTTCTGGTTGCCAGATTTTGAAATACGTAATAAATAAGTAAGCCTATTTTGTTAGATAACTCGATTGTCTACCATGTTTAGCTGTAAATGAACCAATGGTTGGGCTGATGGTTTGGAAGCTCCATAATATGGTTAAAAACAAAATGTCAATATGATTTGCACATATTGTATTGTCTTTGGATACATATTTAATCTAATTTATTTGCCTTTGTGTATCCTTTTAATAACGCGGCTTTTTACATGACTCGGCTGTTTGTCTTGTTTACCATTTACAGTAAACTGTATTTTTCAGAAATGTTTGGTGTCTAAATGTTCTGCGTTAAATCAGTTTGACACCAAAAAAACTAAATTTTTATAGCATTTATAATGGTTTAGAAGTATCAAATTCAGTTTGATAAACATCAAGCCTGCCTTATTCAGTCATTAACAAATTATCATGGGTTGGGCACCTTATTTTAAACCATCAATATGCAGTTTTTATATTTAAGATATGTATTACTTTATTATTAAATTACATGTTATTTAGCTGACACTTTTATCCGAAGCGACTCACACTACTGTAAACATGCCTACGGGTGCAGTTTGTGGTAAGGATTTTTGCCCAAGGACACTCCGACATGTTGACTGGGATTGAACCCCTGACCTCTGATTGATTCTCTGAAAATTGACCTTTTCCAAAAGGTAAATGTTCAAACAGTCCAAACCAGACAAGGATTTTTTTTCACCACCTGGCAACCGAAGAAGTTGTTCTTATTTGATCTCTTGATCTCCTGAGCGCCTAACTTTACATCTAAGCTGTCATTTTACATTTCATACTCACTGTTTTACTTACTGTTTAGACCTCTGTTTATATATGTATTTATTTATTCACACTCGTACATTTACCACATTCCTGTTAACATTGAACTTATTAATTTCCAATTGCTGTCTACAACAAATGTATATTACTTTATTATATGTTTTATTCATATGGCCTTAGCCTACATTTTTCCCTTCACTTTTCTTTTTACAAATATGTCATTATTAACGTAAAACTGATTACTTACACTTTATACTGTTAATGGGACCTTTTTAGAGAGTGGTATTGATATATCTTAAAATATACAGAAATCAATCCAGATAACATTAATAGATGTCCCTTTTTATGTGAACATAATGACTTGTAAAACTCTGGATACGATCTGCTAATACAGTTTCTGTACAGGTGTGTCTCACCCATGTGTGAGGACCAAAAAGGATATATTTATCTTTAACAGTTGTGTTTTTACGTTTGATTCACTTTCTCTAAAAACTAAACCCCCTTGTGACCAAAGACTATATTGAGAGAGAAAAGAGATGCAAAGAAAGACACCATTTTTTTGTGGTCTGAACATGCTGCCACAAAGTCAATGGGCTTGTTTGTTTTAGAGGAAGTGACTATGTTCCCTGATTTTTAAAACCTTTTTCCGGTTCTTGCACATACAGTATAGGTCATATTGAAGTAGGAATATATATTATTTGTTTAGTTTAAATGTAGTCTTCTGTATAACCTTCAAAAAAGTACTTATCTCTAAAAGTTTTTAAACGTCTTTTGTCTATTCCTTGTGTTTTTTATTTTTTATTTTCAGCAACATGTTTGATTTAGTTTGATGTCAGCCAAAAGTTACAGGCAGAAAAACAGAATGCAAATGTCAGTAAAAGATTTGTATTTCACTTCTTTATTACAAGGTAAAGGAAACATTTGGACCAGATGTTTTCCATTTCAGTAAGTTTCAAATTCGATACGATTGCAACAAAACAAAAAAGGTCACTGTGGTTGCATTGAGAATCTTCCAGGAGGGAACCGGTGAAATAGTTGAAATGTGAATAACTGTTTAAAAAGGATAAACTGTTTTAATAACCCTTTAAAAGGGGAATCTGTGTAACGGGCCACATATTAGGGCAATTTAAAGCCTCCAAACCTTTTATTTTATTAAATATAGCCCCAAAAAACCTTCCCATCATGTGACCATATCTTGTGACTTCCTGTTTTGCATCTATATGCAGCTGTATCTTCACTCTCAAAGTTACTCAATCATAAAGCACACCACAAAAGATTTCTAATTCCCTTTTGTGTTCACCTCGCCTTCAGGATGGACACGTGCCTCAGTTCACGCTTACAGATCATTATCCTGTGTGTCTGTTGCACAGTGAGTAGTACTGACATTTCCTGTAGAAATGAAGCTGGTGAACCAGTTGATTGGTGAGTTGATATGATTCATTACAGCAGAGTTTGTTAGTCAGGTTGCTTGAAAATCCATGTAGTTGTTTGGGGTAATCAGATTTGGTTTGTACTTTGCTTCCTACTTACTTCTATAGACCTAGTTTGGAGCTAAACATATGTTATACTCAGTGGCGGCCGGCCCATAGGGGCGCTAGGGGCGCCGCCCCCCCTCTTCCCACATGTTTGATTGTAATTAAAAAAATAAAATTTAAAATTTAAAAATC